TCGTTGGAGAGTAAAGTTGATGAAAAAAGAACGAAAATGGATAAAAAGTAAGCAAATTTAAAGAAAATAAATAAAAATATACATAAATAAAAGTAATAAAATAATTATATTAAAATTACAGATCAAAAGTAGTTAGTAACAAAAAGCAACTAGCGCGATTAGTGGAGTTGATGCAAAAAAACAGCGACTAACAAGCACCTAAAACGATTTTTGAGCACCCCAATAGTGCGTTCCACAATATTCCGTCCTTGAGAATGTTTACCGTTGAACATACATTCTGCTTATCCGGGCTCTGGGTTTCGGTATGGCGTAAGCATATAGGGTTGTAAGGCATACCCTCCATCACCTAAAATTGGAAATAGCTATGACACAACCATTCGAATGTCTACATAAATTAGCCATAGCATACCTAATAACATATTTCGCTCGCCACTACGATACTCTTCTTCTAATTGTTGCTTCAACGCAGACATATTAAAAACATTAGCATCATGCGTAGCTCCAGGGTACTTCGCGTTGATATAGCGGATTCGCATGGCGTTGTCGCAAACCTATAAATGAAGAAAGATTATAAACTCCATTGTTGCATTTCCTTTATAAATACTCACTATCATTGCATTCAAGCTGAAAAATCCTTTCCGATTGTAATACAAATGCTGATGATCCTTTTTTGGGGAAACAATTTTGATGTGCGTACCGTCTATGCAGCCTATTACTCCGGGTATTCCGCTCCTCCCAAAGAAATAACACTTTGTTTCTCGTTTTTCCTCTTCACTGTTTTGCATTTTTATCCAATCTCTGCAGACGCATTCCTCCAAAGCATTGAATACTTCCGCCAAAATTATGGACACCGTAGATTGGCCAAGCCCAATACAACTTTCGTTCCCGACACTTAGCTGATACGACCCCTGAGCACAGAACCTCAAAGTCGCTGCCAACTTTAAAATATTTGGAACTGATGTTTTACTAACGCCAGCTTGCAGTTTGCTATCTAATGGGCTGTTTTTGCTTACGCGTAAAAGCACATTTAGCACATTTAGCTCTAAATGCTACTCTAAGGGCCGGTTATTTGCATGGAGCCAAAAACGTCGATAACGATGTTAATCGGTGATTAGTGTCAATCAGGCTTTGAGCAACCGGCCTTAAATGTACATTTATCCATACAAAACTCGCCACCTAAATGCAACTAAATGCAACTCCATTTTTGCATTAAGGGCAGGTTGCTCAAAGCCTGGTTGACACTAATCCCCGGTTAAACATCGTTATCGACGTTACCGACACCATGTTATTTGCATGGAGCCGAAAACGTCGATAACGATGTTAATCGGTGATTAGTGTCAATCAGGCTTTGAGCAACCGGCCCTAAGAATCTAAATGCTAAAAGCAACCCTGTGATCTTCCAAAATTTCCACGATTCGAACATGGTTTAATGAGAAAAACTGGCAACATTGCTTTTTCGAGTATACAGTCGCTAGCTCCGTTTCAGTGATCGCCGATCGAGATTTCATTTATTATTTTACATTATTTGGATAAAGAAAAGTTACGCAAATTCAACATCGATATGATGCTGATAGAAATCTGGATTAATTTGTGATCAACTCTGTTTGTTTTGTTTCCTAATTAAGTGTGGAAATTATAATTGACAGCGCCGACAAATGAATATATACACAAACAAATGGTCGGTTATGGTTAAAACAATTTAAGTTTTTGTATTGAATTTTCGGTTTAGAATGAATTTTTTCCTTTTCAGTAGGGGTTTTCGCACATTATCTTTTCCGTGAGAATTTATCGTAATAGATACGGATCTGAATAAGCGACTGGAACAGGGCTGTTTGTCAAAAGCATACGATTTCGAACTCGCGTAAATGTACAGTTGCTAAATGCGGTAGCATGAACGCTCTTCGAAAACATATGTTCGAAAGTGCTAAATGTTGCATTTTAAATGCAGCAAAAACGCTGCATAATAGTGTGAGCAAATGCGTAAATGCAGCCTTCGGAAGACGAAAATTTTTCAAAAATCTTAAAAAAATATAGATTGATTACGTTTGTATCAACTACGCACCGTTGAAACCGTATACATACATATTTTCCTCCAATTCCAGAGGATTAGACGAATCCCTCAACATTCTCCTCGTTCTTGCTAACTCTACTAATCTTTCACTTTCCTCGTCATCACTATCACTGAACCACACGTCGACACTATCCATTAGTGGTATTTTCTTTTTTAAATTGTTAAATTGAAAAGTTTTGGACAATTGTATTTTATTTTATTTGCCAAATATATCAAAAATGTAAACAAACACCGAAACAGCTGATTGCAATTCAGTAAGCCATTCACAATTGTACAATTGTTTATCGATTCAGTTCCGCAATACCAAAATAAAATATGATCGACTCAATAGAAAAATGTCTATTCTACTG